CTTCCTTTCTTTCCTCAGTGGTGAGGAGTGAGTCCACAGCCTTTGCACTGTCCTACATCCTCAGTCCTTTTCTTATTTTTTATTTGGAAACAGGGTCTCACTAAGTTGATAAGTTGCCCAGACTGGCTGGAACCTACCTCAGCTTCCAAGAATCCTGGGATTGCATGGTGTGCCACCATGCCTGGGTTGTGTCTGTTTATTTGAAGTGCCTAGAAGAATGACTTGTGCTAAGTGAGTACTCAGTTACATTACTGAATACCTCAATAGATATTTCTGAAATTGAAAAAGTTGTATTTCTATTTTAAAAAGTCATTTTTCTGCAGCAAGTGGAGTTTCCTCTCCTTGATTAAAACACTAACTTCAGTGTGACCATTTATAGTGGAGAAAAGCGATAAACACTACCTAGTCGAGGTAATCAACAATAAGTCATGGTGATACTGTGTGGTGTGACATAATGAAAAGGACACTTTACCTCTTTCTGTGTTATTCTTTCTCAAAGCCAGCCTAACCATAAGAAAAAAATCAGCCAAAATTAGATGGACATTTTACAAATTACCTATCCAGTACTCAACACTGTTTTGATTGCAAAAAACAAGAAAAATACAAACCTGTCACACCAAAGATGACTAAAGGTAATGTGGTATCCTGGCTGAGATCCTCAAGAAGAAAAATGAAGTTAATGGACAACTAGTGAAATCTAAATAAAGTGTGGAATTTATTTAAAATCAATATGGTATTTCATAGTTATTACTGAGGACCCATGAAACGTTACTGGAAAGCTGCAGTAGGCTCCAGTCTCCTACTCCATGTATGATGCAGGCCTCAGGGGGAAAAAACCCCCTGAAAGACAGAACTAAGAGAGACAAAAAGCAGGGCTCCAGAGCGACCGATGTTGGTATAACCAACAAAGGTGCTGGCCAGTTTAAGCCTCTGATTTTTACTGGGAATTAATTGGAGTAAAGGGGAGCTATGTGTAAGGGAAGGACTCTGTAAGGAAATGTGTAGTTGTGTGGTTTTTATGGAAATTAATGGAGACAAGGCTTGTAAAGGAAAAAGACAAAGCATTTTAGATAGGAACAGGATAGACAAAATATATGGCTGTAATTAGAGCATTGTTTTTTTAATTAAGGTTTTAGTTGTGGGAACGGAATTTGTATCTGAGTTATTTTGACCTTGGCATGTAGGCTTTGGCTAGACTCATTTTTTAAAACAAGCCACTTGTGGGGTTAACTCTTTACAGCCTACACTTCTTATAGCCTGCTTTGAGCATAATCAATATTGCAGTCTCCCACACTTATAACAGATGTAGCATGATATTATAAGATACTTTAAAAGGAGAAATTGAATGAGCTGTATATGGGAGAGCTTCCTGAGCCATTTTTGCAACCTTCCTATGAATATAAAAATTTTGAAATAAGTTTAAATGAGCAATTATAATTTTATAGTCTATTATACCACATTTTAAGACAGGTTGTACATTAGTACAACTATCCACTATTGTGAAATTTGTGGCTGAGATGACAATATTTCTGAATTTGTGGAGATTTGAGATCAAATCCAGTGAATTTAGTCACTACTCAAGGCAAGATTTTGCGTCTTAGAATACTCAAGAGGGACAATGTGGTACTAGAAGAGTTAAAAATCAATTGTAAATAAAGATTAAAGATTTTAAAGGACAAATGAAAGGTGAAGAATTTAGAATTGATGAAACTTACTGGGCAGTATTTCATCTATTCAGTATTTCAGCTCTTCAGTACATGGACTGAACAGTTCATTCTAGAATATTCTGTATGTTAATTTATTTGTTTGTTGTAAGACAGGGTCTCTCACTATGTAACCCAGGCTGGCTTTGAACTGTCTACCCTCTTTCGTCTTCCAGGTACTAGGACTACAGGCATGTACACCATGCCCAGCTTTAGAATTTATTTTTTGACTCCTCTGTCATATATTTCCTTTTCCCTTTTCTGATTTTGGTATGAAAATTGGTAATCATCAGAAAAATTTACATATAATTATATATCTCTCCCATGAAAGCTGAAATGAATGGGAGAAAATGAAGTCAGGAAATAGCATGTGGACTTATTTT